AACTGGGAAAGCCTTCCATGGGACCTTGTCAGGAATCCTCTGTAACGAGTCCAGCTCCTCGGCAGTTGGGTAATCGTCATCTTCCTCCGCCGTTGTCTCTGCTTCCTTAGTATAAGTTGGGACTTCGCTCTCATGCTTCTCAGGAATCGTCTCCGCCAAAGCTGGGTTGTGCTTCTCGCCAACAACGGCATCGTCAATGGCAAGACCACTCATGATTGAAACCGCTCGTCTTGGTCACTTATGGTGTGGGATTAAGCTGGCTTTCGAAGTTCACCTTGCAATACAAGAGATGGCCCACTGAAACGGATCCTTAGCCGGCCTCTTTATACTCAGATATAGGCAAGTATTCTATCATAGTATTTCCTCCGAGCCCACATAGCATAGCACATTCCGTTTCTGTCGAAGGTCATAACGGCGCTACAGCTATCAGGGCCTACCATCGATCTTCAGGGTATGTATCACAAAATAATAACAAAAGCAGCAGCAGCAACAGCTCAGACAAAACAGATAATCCTCTGTGATTTGTCCAGCGGTTTCTTTCAATTAAAACGAAAGATCGTTGTCTTCGCCCAGAATACTTTAAGAGGCAGGCCCCTCGAGAACACCTGCTAAAAGATACAATTGGCCGGACCGCCTGCCTAAACAGTGCTCTGCCCTCTCCTCTGGGATTTTGTGTTTTAATCGTATCAGCGGCGATATCTGTGGTGTAGCCGCCTAGCACATGATGATAGGCATCCTTGTGGGAGGCGTAAATCAAGCTATTTCAAAGGGATACGATTTGAAGGCCTTCCCGGGAAAAAATTGTGCAATGTGGCCCAGAAATGGTCCAACCAGAGCAAAGGGGATCGTAATTTGATAATCCCTTTGCATTCTTTTGGCACCGGATTTCATTTCAAAAGGTTTGGTCCGTATTTAGGTTATACATAGGTATGTATGTACCACGTTCCCGTGTTGTTTCGCGTGATGCCGCTGCTGTTATCCATACACTTGGATTAACAAGGAGCCCTCTTATAGTTAACGCCCGCGGAAAACCGTCCTGATCCGAGGTGAGGGGTCAGTCGTCAACATTGGCAGGTGTTGAACGCGGATTTATTTCTACTCCAAAGCCAAGAAGATAAAGGGCCGGACTTATCGAGCCTGTGGAGTAGTAAATGGACGGTTGCTGACAGCTTATGCCGTTCTTCCGCGACTTAGAGAAGCTTGGTATCGACGTCGTTTGAAGTCAAACAATGTTGTATTTGAGTAAGCTGAAAAGTGCTTCTACCATTCCATCTGGGGCATTATCTACGGCGAGAAGAAGAAGCGAGTGAGTCATGAGAAGCATATACATGTCATTTATAGTTAATTTACTAATATTCGGTCGGGAACACTGATGTCAACAACGGCCCCCAAAATAAGCTTCTTTAGCTCGCCTAGGCGACATCAAGCCGCGTCTTGGTGAAAGCTTGAGTCAAGCCAAGTCAAGGACAAGATATTGGCATCACCAAGTGAACCTTGGTATTTTTCTATAAATCCAATTCAACGAGCTTTATGGATTCAAGGTCATTTCACTGATGTTTTTCGAGTCGATACTAATCTTTGACCTGTATCGCTAACGATTTCCATCACCTAAGATTTTCACAAGCATCCTAGAAGCCCTGCAATTTTGCCTCTATCTCTCAAGTTTGTTCCCAACACCTTGCTGCTCGACCTGTCTCAGGAAGGTGTTGGGTACTGCAAACGGGGCTTTGAAAGTCTGGATCTATGGTAATTTAGGCACCGCGTAGGGGAATTCGAACTGAACATTGCACACCATCGACCCTATAATTCCGTAGTCGTGTGCTAATTGATTCGGGGACTTTGCATCTTGGGACAAGTCAGAAACAACGTGCAGCGTTTATCTTGGAGTCCTGGGTGCAGGAATCTTCTGCTAATTGTAATCTCATCGACAAGGAGGGCATGTAGGCACCGCGAGTACAAGCTGGAGACATATTCATCCACACGCCGATGAATGTCTTTTGCCCAAAAACAATACAGGACCAAACTGTGAGGTTATTCATGACCTTCGACTTTTAGAAGTCATTGGGGGCCATTGAGGTTAAACGAGACTTGAAGATCAATGAAGAAGTAGAAGGTCCTCTATGTCGTATCCCAATGGGGTATAGGCCCAGTGCGCTGACGAGCGAACCTCGGCTCTGGAATTTATCAACGAACGGCCACTCCCGGCAGCACCGGAACTGGCCTAGAATTTGCATACCTTAGTTGATTGGCTCTTGGTGAGGATGCTCAACTTCTCCAACTCCTACGAAGTACTCTTAAAGAGTGTAGACTACAAACCCTCCAGATACCTACATAAATACATCCTGAAAATTTACAAGTCTGGGACGTATGTATTCTTGGCAGCATCCGGAACGACCACCGACTCTGCAGAAAGGGAGAAGGCATCCATCGACGGATCAGTTGCGATTCAGCAGCTTCAAGTCCTCCAATGATGTTGAACCGATAGCCGTTTGTACAATTGTGCTTCCAAATCTCCACAATTCTAGACGGAAGATTGTGTCGGGTAGCCGTTATTCTCGTACCACTCCATGCACAGCTCATCACGCGATTTCACGTCTCAACGTCGCCCCACTTCGCCGCCCAAAACTCCCCCGCGCGCACCTCTCAACCCATTCACAAAACATCAGACATCTGGTTCAAGAGACTGACAGAAAAATACAACATCTGTTACTCAATAACTGTGGTCATCTAGTCTCCAAATCACTCTAAACAATGTCTGCTGCGTTCGCAGGGCTGCGGCTAGCCGGTTCAACCTTTGGTCGACAATGTATTCCTAAGCAACACCTCTCGCAGAGATGCTTCTCAAACGGCGCGTTTTTCACTAGGAAATTCCCTAAAGCCCCAACTCTGCTTGCTCGTAGGCAGTTCACCTTTACTTCCAAGAATCCGATCCTTGAGACGGCGGGCGCAGGTACGAAGGTGGCCGAGTCGCCATTGGGCGGGCTTGCAGATGGATTTGCGGCGGGCAAGCAGGCGATCAAGGACGCCGCCCATGTGAAAAGACGCTCTTTCTTCCCGGAGACGAGCAGTAAGGCAGCTGGTTACTGGCTCATTGGATCTGCGGGTTTGGTTTTTGGTATTGTGGTTCTTGGCGGTTTGACTCGTCTTACTGAGTCCGGGTATGTCACCTCCGTCACACATCGCCCATACATTTTCAAAGAAACTATCTCTCATATTCGGCGCATAGTCTTTCAATTACAGAATGGAAGCCGGTCACCGGCACTCTTCCCCCGCTGACAGCGGCGGACTGGGAAGAAAACTTCTCGAAATATCGCAACTCGCCCGAGTACCGTATCTTAAATCCCAACATGACCCTTGATGAATACAAATTCATCTACTACATGGAATGGTCACACCGCCTCCTTGGCCGTTTCATCGGTCTCTCCTTCGTCCTCCCTGGTCTCTACTTTGTTGCCCGCCGCCGCGTCTCCGCACGCATGGCAGCGCGCATCGCCGGAATCTCCGCTCTCATCGGCTTCCAAGGCTTCATTGGCTGGTGGATGGTTAAGAGCGGTATCCAAGACGACCTCTTCCAGAAACCTGGCTCCCACCCACGCGTCAGCCAGTACCGTCTCACCGCACACTTGGGCGCCGCGTTCGCTGTATACGCTGCCATGCTCTGGAACGGTCTCTCCGTCCTCCGTGAAAACCGCCTCCTGAACCCAGACCCCAAGGCCGCACTCGCCGAGTACAAAGCACTTGCAAATCCCAACCTGCGCATATTCCGCGGCAGCGTCGCCGTCGTCATGGCCATGGTCTTCCTTACCGCCATGTCTGGAGGTCTTGTCGCCGGCCTAGATGCGGGACTCATCTACAACGAGTTCCCGAAGATGGGAACCGGTTTCATGCCGCCAACTAAGGAGATGTTCGACCCCTTCTACTCCCACACTCCCGACCAGACCGACCTCTGGTGGCGCAATATGCTTGAGAACCCCACGACCGTGCAGTTCGACCACCGTGTTCTCGCCATGACCACCTTCTCGCTGATCGTCGCGCTGTTCGCCTACAGCCGCTACAACCCCAAGGTTGCGGCTGCGCTGACAAAGCGCGCAAAGGTCGGCACCATGGGAGTGCTCCATCTGGCGATCCTTCAGGTGCTTCTGGGCATCACGACACTCATACATATGGTGCCAACGCACTTGGCGGCGACGCATCAGGCGGGTAGTTTGGCGCTGCTGACGGGAACGATTGTGCTTGGAAGTCGGGTCTGGCTGCCGAGATATGCGGCGAGGGTGGCGAGTAAGAGGATTGAGATGTTGAGTGCCGGTGCGAAGGGGTTGAAGCTCCCGGTTAAGCCGAACGTTGTGAAGGCGGAGGGGTTGTAGATGGGGTAGAGTTGGGCTGGGGAGTAACCGTACATACTAGTAGGTGCTTGTATAAAAGGGATGGTTAGAAGGGAACGGAGCTGGCGCTCCCGATTATAAATGGCTTTACAGTACATATCTTCGTTTCTTGTATATTATTTAGTACTTTTTTCTTTTTTTTTAGAGGCGGATTGGAATACAGACACCACTCAATTATATTTTTTGCTCTTTGGCGCGCATGAGGTTGTCTGCTTAGTTTTGGGATGTGTTTTGCCCCTTCGTTATTTTGTATAGTCGGATACCTCAGATCAAACCAGTCTTTAATTGTCTTACTCACTTTCCCATTCTTTTTCCTATATGGTACTACGGTTCGCTTGGTTCTCGAGTAACCCTGTAAACCCGGCCAGTGTTATTCAAGCACCAAATATCACTCGGCTGATTCAATGTAACAATCTTGATTGATTGATCTTTATTGGACGATCAATAACGAGATCGGTCCCGATATTCATTGCGAAAGGTGTTCATGTGCTGATAGACTGACTGATGAACCCTATGATTTGCTCATACTCCTAAAATATCAAGCGCCAGTTACCATACAAAAAACCAACTCCTGGCCCTCCCCCCCAGACAATACAATAAAAAAATATGTTCATAACCTTACAAACTGTGCCCCTTTCCCTTGCTCTTCGCATCACCGTCCTTCCAAGACAGGATCAATAGACATGATACAGGGTTCTCAAGAGAGCATCGTACGGCTTTCCTAGAGAGTTGGATGGGGATTAGTCTAGTAGATAGCTACCCTCTTTCTCATAAGAAACTGCCACATCCTTTTGGATCTCAGACTCTTATATTAAAATCCACTCTTTTCCAGTATCGAGCAAAGCAACAACAACTCAGAACACGGTACCTGTATTTTTCGAGTTCCTCCGCCTCTTCGGTCGTAAGAACACGAGGGAGGGTTCTAAATCTATCCCTTTCATTCATCTCGTGAAATTCTAGCATGCTATGTGTATAAAATAGCTCCGGGTCTGTCAAGTACTCACACACGGGCGAAGGAGGTAGTCCAGGGATATCGAGCCAACGTTCTTTGCCAAACATGTCCGCCTAGCGACAAAATATCAGGCAATGCTCGGAGGAAGAATTTGGGTATACATCCAAACCGGGGGCGTTTGTGGGGGCGTACCCGACTGATATCCTTCTCTCCCCTCAGGAAGAAGTTCAGCGTTTCCACGGTTATATTATGTCTTCTTATAAGACGATAGAGGGGGGTCGAGGCCTCCTCGTAGGGGCTGGGGGCGACTCGTTCTACGAACTCGTGAGGATCCGGAAACCAATGGTCGAAATAGGCATCCAGGCGACCACCGACCATGACTCCCCGATCCTCCATCCAACAAGTTTGGATATCGGCTTCCAGATATGCTAGCGCTGTGCGAAGTCTGCGTTGTACCCTCGCCAGGCTGCTGCTTTCTAATGACTTAAGCCTCCGTTGAGGGTTGTTGAAAGCAGGAAATCCCGTCGTTAAGGTATCGTCCTCGAAAATTGGCTCGAGTACCTTTGGTGTTGGTATACGGGGATCTTGCCATGTAGTATACCTATTGTTATGATTCACAAAATATATCCTGTAAGTATCGGTATATCGTATTTCCCACCCTGTGGGTAAAATGTGCGTCCCGCGCGCGCGCAACCTTGGACTCACCATGGGCCGCGTCGCCCGCCCTCTCAGATCCGTGGAGCACCTCTTGTCAGCGGGACCAGCCAAAGGGCTTCTCACTTTCCTCCACGCAATATGGTTTTTTTCAAGGTTATGGTATAGATCTCTGATCCGAAGATCACTCCGTGGAGGATTCTTTGGTCTGGGTCCTCGATAATATGCAGGTGGAGGATCAACTTCTTCGTCCATTTGATACGATATATCCACAACTTGTTGCTTTTCGGATTCGTGGTGAGGGGCCTGATTAGCTGAGCTGTCCCTTCCCCACTCATCGTTTCCCTCCTCGAACCACATAGGGATATCGTTCCACGCCGGGCAGTCCCGTATCGAAGCAGGGCAACGATACTCAAACCTATACAAAATCTCGTTGGAGTAGTCGATGCTATACGTGCGCCTTGTAATCTTGCCGTACCTCCAAGCCATGATGGTTCTAGCCCCAGATAGCGGCCTTTCTGCTGCTGGACGCGGATAATACACCATCGTCGCTCTGAAGATCCTCAGCTGTATCATCCAATGTATGGGTAGAATTGTATCCGCGCCCGGAGGTGGACAAAAAAATCTCGGGGTACTATCCAAGTGGAGGTAGCTGTCCTCGCCCACAGGTGGGCCGTGATCAAAAAATGTTACAAAAGCAGGCCACCATTTGGGCCTGGCAACTACTTGCGACTCATTGTTTGGTAGGATCACGAGGTAATGCGTGCATTTTTCCTCGGATTCGCAGATGGGGGCGAGTTTGAGGGTGACGAACCAGCGTTTGGTTGGGTAGCCGGGGATTATGCAGTGTACTGCACTGTTTCTGACTTTGACATTGAACTCGGGGCAGGTGAACTCCTTGGTTGATATTGATACGGAGACGTCATGTTCTGGGTGCTTCATCTCGAGGATTCAGTGGATGTCTGAGTTCGACTCGGTGTCGGTGAGTTGTATCGAATATGAGAGGAGGGGCTCGTAAGAGGTCGAGGAATGGTCAAAATGACACGTATGAGGCAAGGTTAAAGACGGTTTCTCGATGTTTAGGAGACAATAATATAGAACAGAATTTGTTGTATATCATGAAAGGTGAACGAAACTTGGTTGCTCTCAACCATTATATAATTAATGAGGTCTTATATATAGCCATGCGTATAGCTCTTGGCGTGTCAGACATTAATAGAATCATCTGAATTCTAGATGACCACATAGTGACAACCATATATATGCTCCTCTGCTCCTAGACTCCGAGGTCTGACGTTTTCTGTGCCTACGATGTCGAGTGACAGATTATGATTTTGACAACAGGTCAATATGCACGTGGTGTTGAGCGCCCACATTCTTGGGGCTCGGTGAATTGAGATCTTCGAGCCGGAAGTTATTTTATTTCATTGGGTGTTCCTGACTGTTGCCATAGTCCGACAAGTATCTTCTCCCCCCACCATCAAGCCTGCAGTGGGAGGCTCTATAGAATCGTTATTTCACCTTGTTATATTCGCCGCCTCCGACTGTCCAGCCACAACACCCATCCAAAGATCACCCGTAATTAAACCTTGGATTGTTAGGAATCAGAATAGTGATGGACACGAGGCCGTTCGATCCAACCTGGTTCGAGGTTCCATATCGTACCTAATAATAGGCCCAGCTATCACGACTTCGAATCCTCAATACGCTAGCAAGTCAATGTAGTAAGAATACGGTATTCTTCTTGTAATACCGGGTAGTGATTCCACTGCCGTTTTCATTCGCAGACACTGTCCGTGTCGTAGGTAGTACTGTATTAACAAGATATTTTGACGTTTTATAAATCTAACACTAGCTATAGTCTAAAGGATCCCTTCCCTCCGTCTGTCCCCACATTCATCGGATCCACTTTTAATTTTAATGGAGCAGCTATAAACGCTGTCTCCACAACGACCCCCCCCCCCCCCCCCCACCCCACAGTACCTGAAAACAGCGGAAGGGATAGGTAGTTAAGAGGTTCACAAGAGACCGACCATTTACGTCGCAGAGGGACTCGCCCCAAACTCGATCGACTTGCATGGGCGGAGGGGTCGGTGATATTTGACTCCCATTGCAACCCAAACCCACCAATTTGAATAACTTGGAATAAAACCAGCCTTAATTTTATACCAACGTGTCAAATGCAGAGATAGATATCGAATTCGAATTCTCACGAGTTGCGGTTGCCCCCATGCTCACCGTGACATCACAACCAGAACCTCCGAGCCTTAGATCCTCGATCTAGGTATATATGGTCTCTTGGCAATCAGGGTTCAATCAATTGAGGCTTGAGAACGCCATAGCCCCCATCACAGCCTAAAGATTGGAGAAAGCAGTTAGCTATATACATGTAGCTATAACCTTACGTGCACCGGCGCTTGATACTGTGTTCTAGCCACAGGATCAATTGCAAGCACAATAGAGCGTATTTGCCAACCGTCAATTTCAACTATTGACACTTCAAACTTGACAGTTTCGGGAGGTAAAACTGACAGTTCCCCTCAGTGACCAAAATCGATCTGGTTAACGGTGTGACAGAATAAACCCCGAAAACCAGACAATCCATCACGCCACCTGTGAAATACGCTGTTGGAACTGAAAATTCATACCCCATGATACTAGCTTCGGTAGTAACAAAACTGGGTGCTTGTGATCCTCCTGGTATATCTCACAGCACGCCGCCCCACCGAAATTCAAAATTAACAGCCCCGGTTGCCATTTCGGGGCCCCACAATTTGTAAATTCTTGAAATTGACGGTTGGCAAATACGCTCTAATGTCACTCTAGCAGAGGACTGATTTGCATCAAAGAGCCGGCTCATGATAATCCAACTTGATTTACTTCAATCATACAAACATCTCTAGCTCTCCCATCTCTCCCTTTAAGCTGAACAAAGCAGAATACATGTAGTCACGTCAGCGGGATATATATAAATAGAAACCAGAAACACAACGCCCAACCATCTGCTCTGGCTCTCCTAAACACATTAATTATCCAATTTTATTTTCTCTCTTTCTCTTTCAGTTCAGTGTTTCGTGATCAGTTTTTCTAATATAACAAGCTTAATTAACCAAGCCAAGTGACTTTTCTTCAATAATAATAAATATAAAAAAGCGGTTTCCAGACCCACATACAGGCCACAATAAAACAAAAAAGCAAAAAAAAAAAAAAAAAGGTCCATCCCCCAATCCCCCTCCCCCCAAGTCCACTCACTCCTCCACCGCCGCCTTCGGATTGTCCATCCTGGCCTTCTGCTCATCCCTCCTCCTCCTCTCCTCGCCATTGAGGCTCCTCACCTTCACATTCATGACCTCCGGCGGCTTCTCGGCCTCCTCCTCCTCCTCCACATCCTCATGCCTCATCGGCATCCCCGGCGGAAAGCGACTCTTCCTCTTAGGCCTCAACACATACCTCGTCAACACGGGATAAAAGTACGCCCCGCGCGCCTTCTCCTCATCCCCCGCATGGAAGATCAGCGCCGCCTCCTCCAGCTCGTCCGAGTGCTGCTTATGCGACTTCGTCTCATACGAGCGCACATACTCGTATCTGAACTCGTCCTCATCCTCCACGGCCTCGTCGCCGCTCGTCGGATCATCCTTGTACGCGGCGAACTTGCGCTTTATCCCGCCGGCCACGCCGCTGCTCGCAGGCAGGTAGTAGTCAAACACGTCCTGCCCCACGGCATCCACGTTCCCCTCCTCGTCCACGGGCTTCTCATGCGGCTTCAGCAGCCCCACGTCCAGCCGCGCATCGCGCCGCGCCCCCGCCACAACCGGGTTCGCAGAGAACTTGAACAGCATGTACCCGCCGCTGTCGCTCGTGGCGTTGAAGTCCGGCAGCAGCGGGAACGTCTCGACGGCGCGCAGCTGCGGCTTGTTTGGGTGTCGCAGCTCCTTCCAGTTGCGCTCCGCGTTGGCAGCCGCTTTGTCGCCGGCCGCGAGGTTCTTGAGCCCGATTGTGCCCTGGCCCGCGGTCTCCGGGTTCGCGACGTCGAAGCCCTTCAGGATGGCCTGCAGGATGCGCAGCGGGTCGTTGTCTTGGTCTTTTGTGGCGGTGCGTTTCGCGCGCGAGGCTTGCAGCATGCGGTCGGAGGTGGTGGAGCCGCTGCCCTTGAAGGTGGAGCGCGACTGCTCGGCGGAGATGTACTCGGTGCGGCGCAGGAAGGAGATTGCGGACGCGGAGCCGGTCTTTGTGAGTGCTGTCTGGCCGAGGGAGGAAGCGGAGCGGAGGAGCAGGCGGTCGCGGGGGTCGACGGCGGGGGTGGGGTCGAGCGGGCGGATTGCTGCATGCCATGGAGAGGGTCAATCAGCTACTACCAGAAATAGGGAGAGACCACACAGATGAAGTGGGGAGGGAGAGAGAGCAGTACCGGCGTCATCGCCATCAAACACCCGCGGCACATGCACCATGTCCAGCGGCATGCCCAGCTCCGAGTCCACGTCCACGCACAGCGACTCGGTGCGCGCCAGCTTGCTCGCAAACGACGTGTCGGTGAACTGCGCGGCCGCGCTGTTTGGGATGTCGAGCAGCTTGGGCGGGCATTGCGGCGGCGGGAGCGTGTTCTGGTAGCGGATGCGGACGATGTAGTCCTGTGGGTAACCGCGTGGCGTGGGCCGTGACATTGTCTCTCTCTGTGGTGTGTCTGTGGAAGAGGGAGGGGAAGGGAAGGGAAGGGAAGGGAAGGGAAGGGAAGGGAGGAGAAGGGAAGGGAAGGGAGGAGAAGGGAAGGGAAGGGGAGAGAGGGGGGGAGGGAAAGGGAGAGGGAGAGGGAGAGGGAGAAGTTGTGAGGATTCGCGGAAAGGTTGTGGGGATCGACCGTGTGGATGGAAGGAAGGAAGGAAGGAAAGAAGGAAGGAAAGAAGAAGGGAAGCTTGTTGACGAGATGGGACATGCCAAGAGCCGCTAGGGGCCAGGGTTTGCGCGGGAAGGATGCGAGTGATGCGCGGTGAGTGGGCGGGGCGCGGGTGAGTGAGAGGCTGTGACTCGGGGGTTTGTCGCTGGAGGGGAGATCCATGTGGAATGGGAAGCGCGGACTGCAGCAGTGTCTATCGTTACTGAATTCGAGGCAATGCCATGTAGCCCAACGCGACACAGGGCTTGTCGGGGGAGCTCATATCTGCAACAACATTTTCGAGTTACTCCGTTCAAACTGCGGTATAGTGTCGATTCCGCTTGCCATTGACCAAGTGAGTGTCGAATATAGCTGCCACACACAACAAAGCCAGCCAGCGAGTTGCCCTGTTACCAACTGCTACCTTGGGGCCCAAACACTTCTCAAGGCTAGATCAACTATGCCACGAACCAAGCCCTTCAATTTGTTCTTACGCCCCTCGTCTACACGTCGGCGGTTTGGCATAGCAACGGGGTTGTTCGGCAGGGGGTTTTGGGTTTTGGGTTTTGGGCATACAAGCCGTGGAGCTTTTTGGCATAGCAACCAAACCCCCCCCCCCAAAAGGACTGATACAAACTTTTTGGGCAACAGCCACCACCACCACCACCCAAAAATACGTATACCCATCTTAATAGATACCGGAAGCTGGCTATTATCTAGCATACTCCAGCCACTAGTCATTAGATCTATACAGCGATAGCGCTGCTCAGAGAGGAGTACCCCATAGATACGATATTCAACACATATCAGTTCCCAAACGCTTCGTACCTCTCCTTCTTCAGGATCTGGCTAGCCTTGCTTTGGCTACCTGGTGAGCTTTTATTCTCCATGTGTAAACTGCCCCTAGAATTCAATTCATATGATTAGCTGCCGTCGATGCATGCATATGGGAGATGAGAAGTACTAGCTTATATGTTGCAACGTATAAAGCCAGGCAGTGAAAAACCCTTTACGTGACAGAGACGTTTTCCTATACGTGCACTTCATCCACTCACTCATATAGGCTAGTAGGGAGTGTGGGAACAGTCGAAGAACGAGCAAACACCTTGCAATGGTTATCACAGGTTGGACATGGAAAGCACCATGTAAATGCCTGCATCGGCCGTCTGGCTGCTTGCCATATGAAGGCCAGTTGGATACAACGAGCCTGCTTGCTACATGTACGCGTACATACTACGGTAGCGGCACGTACAGCTAGACTGACGCGGCCCGTTTCTGGCTACCTCATATGGGTTAGTAAATAGCGGCCAGGTGGGTTTAAATTCGATACATAACGCCTGTAAACCAATCGTCTGGTAGTGTAGTGGTTAACACGCCAAAACTCAGCTAGTAGGTGTTAGTGCTGTGAGGAGATCTTGGGTTCGAATCCCAACCGACGACATCATCAATTCTTTTTTTTTTTTTTTTTGGTTTTTGGGGGGGCTTCAGAACAGAGGGTGAGAACGAAACACTATGTCCACATTAGCTAGTCTGTGTCTTCGGCTATTTCTTTTGTGTCTTGCTTGCTTTCTTCTTCTATTCTGATCACCATCATAATACAACACTATCATTCGAGCTGGTTTCACTTCCATGCATGATCTGAGCTTCCGTGATTCACGTAGGACCAAAGTCTATTAGCTCCAAAACGTGTGATGATATAGGCCTCCAATTTACCCGCATCTTTAAAAACAAAAACTAGTCGTTGATGAAAGACAGGGCGACAGTACGTTGCATCTCAATTGAGTTGCAAGAGAAGATAAGAAAGATGAAGACAAACAAGAAGACTTGACCGCACACTCATGTGAGCCCCCTTTCCACCAAACCGCTCGGTCCCGACTTATGATGAGCTAATGACCAATAGTTCAACAGCGGCGGTCCCTCAAGAGTTCTCGCACCACTGGTATTCTCGCATGCCATTGTCTTTTTGGACTGTTCGTTCCACGTTGAGCATGCATAAATAGTATCTAGAGTTATGGCACTCAGTCTGTCATTTATCACAACCACAGCGAGCCATTCCGCCAACCACAGACGCCAGGCGCCGAATCCAGGTATCGGACCCTGTTGTAAACGGGTTGTGGGGCTCAAGGTGAGATATTAGATGTGTGCTTGAGGAAAAATAATCTCGTTTTGAGATAAACGCCCCTCTTACTCGGGTTGATGCTATCCGAAGTAGTATCAGGAAACCCTCTATAATGACGGTCTGAATTCCGCGGTGCCCCGATACCAAATCTGTCTTTACTTCACCACTTATAGGGAGCGCTCAGATCAGTATTTATGATTGATGTGTATAGAAGATCGTTTACAGTTGTGCAACTGAGCTGAACCGTTTAGGACTGGTTCTAATAGCTCTTTCGGATGTGGATGAACGGGTAGCTAAACATAAACCTCGGGATATATGGGGCCATGATACTGGAAATTTGATATCGAGGATTAACAATGGCTGCTCTTCTGTGGGGTTAATTGGGGATCTTATGGATTTGAATTTACATTTGGTACAATCCCAGCCCAAATCCTTAAAGACACTCTACTCAGCTTACAAGATGCTATCCAATAATTACAGATCGTTCTTCATAAAGCACGAACCAGAATATGCCCACGCCAGCATCACGCCGATCATTGACCCCAGCCAAGGCCCGTTGTGGGTGTGCTCCATCTGGTTAGCCGCTCTCCATCCCACCATGTCGCACTCCCCCGGTCATGGAAAAAATATTCCCCGTATTACCTCATAACCCCACTATAAACAAGAAAAAAAAAGATCTCGCGAGCGAGTGAAGAAATTGCTTGGATTCCCCTCCCCCCCACAAAGCACAATTGCAATGTTTGCAGTTACGCGCATAGCACTCAGATGCAGTCGGCCGAGGCAGCTGCTGCTCCCGCTGCTGGTCAGGCCGCCGCCACGGACACCGATGCTGTGTTTGAGTGGGCGGCGACGGCTACTTACTACCGATAGGACTGCTCCTGATGCTGGCGATGCTGCCAATGGCAGTGCTGCTGCTGCTGCGTCTACTGGTGATTCTACGTCTACTGATGATTCTGCATTGAGTGCTGCAGTCGGTGTTGGGAGCTCGGATGTCGCTCACGGAAACTCTGAGAAGTTGGATATCGATATCGAGACTGGGAACTCAGACACCACCCCCGAGAACCTCCACATTGCGCCTGAGAAGTCAGATATCACCCCCGAGAACTTACCGCCGACAATTACAGCTATTAATACTGCTACCGGTGATCCTGCTACCGTCACTATACCCACCACGGAAGAATCTACTGCTACCAGTACTGTCGCAGCAGAAGAATCCGCTCCTTCTCCTCCTAGCACTGCTACTGCTACCAGTCCCACTGACCCTCCCCCCTTCGTCCCACCGCCATTCTGTCCCGGCTGCGGCGCCCCCTCGCAACAAACAGCCCCCAACCTCCCGGGCTACTACCACCCCCGCCGCCCCAAATCCGAGCGCTTCACCAGTCCCAAAATCAAAACCCAGCGCAAGCACCGCGAAGAAGAAATCTACCGCGCCGCCCTCGACCGCCTCGCCGCAGCCCTCGACTCCACAAACGCCGACCTCCACCAGACCCCACCCATCCTCGACACGCTCCCCCCGCCGCCGCCGCCCCCGAGAATCCCCCGCTGCGCACGATGCCACATGATGCAGCACCACAGCACGGCGCCGCCTCTGCCCTCGTACCCGACGCTCGAGACGCTGACGGGCCTGCTGGCGGCATCGAAGCACCGCCGCAACCACATCTACCACCTCGTTGACGCGGCAGACCTGCCCATGTCGCTGCAGCCGGACCTGCGCAACCACCTGTGGAGCAATCTGCCACGGAGCGTGACCAAGGAGCTGACGATATCGTATGTGGTGACGCGGGTGGACCTGCTGCTGCGGACGTGGCCGCAGGTGTCGAGCCTGATGACGTGGATGAAGAAGACGGTGAAGGATGCGCTGCCGGAGGGCGAGCGGGTGGAGGGCCGACATGGCGGCGAAAACGAGAAGTTCTGGGCGGTGTCGTCGAAGCGCGGGTGGGGGGTTGGAGACATCAAGAGTGATGCGAAGCACCGTGAGGGCGGGATATGGGTCGTTGGTGCGGTCAATGTGGGTAAATCAAGGCTGGTGAAGGAGGTGTGGCCGGAGGCCGGTAGAGCCGTCATGGGCAGCATGGAGGAGGCCGGGGAGTTCGATATCCTGCCCCCCGCCACCGCCGCAGGTGCAGAAGGGCTTGAGAACGATCCCGACGCCCCGCCTGCCCCGAAGAAGAAGAAGAAGAAGGGGAAGGAACCTGCAGGACCCCCAGCCTCAGAGTCTTCGCACATCGCCCCCACAATCTCACACATCCCCGGCACCACAGCGGCCCCCATCCGTATCGTCTACAAGACGGCCGGCCGAAACACCACCAGCGAGCTGATCGACCTCCCCGGACTCGCACGATGGGTCGGATACGGCCCCACGGGGCTCCTCCCGTACATCCGCCAGGACAAGCAGAAGCTCTTCCACATGGAGAGCTACATCAAGCCGCACCAGATCACCATCAAGCCCGGACAGAGCCTGGTGATTGCGGGCGTGATCATGGTGACGCCCAGGATCGAGGGAGACGACGAGTTGGTGGTGCTGGCGTATCCGTTCCTCAGTCTGCCGGTGCACCTCACGTCGACGCAGAAGGCGATCAGGATATTGGGTGAGCGCGATCCGGAGGGGAGGAAGGGGCTGAAGCTGTACCAGAAGCCTGTTTTGGACGAGATTATGGTTGAGGGGACTACGAGGACCTCGGACACCGTGGATGGGATGGCCGCGGATCCGGCGGAACCGGTCATTGATACCCAGGCCGTCGACGACAGCCTTTCGGGAGAAACCACCGAGAAAACAGACGACATCGAAGAAGCAGCCCTCGACGAAGAATACCGCTCCGAAGACGGCATCCCCACCTCCATCTCCACCGAAGACCCCGACACCACCGACGACGAAAATCTCCCCCCCGCCGTCCTCCCCCCACATATCAAGTCCGCCGGCGTCTACCCGCTCTCCAACGATGTGACCGGCGCGCGCGACCTGCACCTCGACTCGCGCTCCCCGGAGGCCCTCGCTGCGCTCCCCTACCGCATTCTGTCCACCGACATCCTCCTCTCCGGCCTCGGCTGGATCGAGCTCGTTGCGCAGGTGCGGAAGCGGCGCGAGGAGGAGGGCGTGCTTAAGGTGGCCGTCGAGGTGTTTACGCCCAACGGCGAGGGCGTGGGGCAGAGGAATACGATGGGCGCATACATGATGCGCGAGAAGGCGGCGCGGAAGGTGGGTGCGGGGCCGAAGAAGGTGGTGAGGCAGAGGGAGAGCAAGAAGGGGGATAAGAAGAAGAAGAAGAAGGCGGAGAAGAGGAAGGGTCCTGGTGGTGGTGGTGAGGCGTGAGTGAGTGGGCGTGTATAATAGGCTATGTAAATGTATATAGATACTCCCAAAAAATTGATCTCGGATTTTCAATGTCTATGTCAATGATCGATAGTCTACTTTTTTTTTAAACCCCATATGGAAAACTGACTTTTCAGCGGAGCTAGTGAGTGGATGGTACCAATGATCGCCACAACCACTTTACAAGAATCAAATTGTTAACCCTAACTATTTACATAACTAATCCACCGAGAACCCTGCGGGCCCGGGCCCGGGTCCACCCTAATAATTAAGAACAGGGTCCAGGGATCACCCGCTTTCGGGAATCGTTCTAGAAGGGCTCTGGTTCTACTACTCTATCTTACATCTATAGGCACTAGCCCCATAGTAAATACCACATTACCACATCCAGTAGCACCTGCCAAACAATATCTGGTGGTTAAATGCATCCCAGGCCATAACAGAGATTTTTTATTTATGAAAAACAGTACAGGCTAAATGTGTTGATATACCTTGCCAGTACCATGGCACACAATGCATGTGTCTCCTCCACTCCGACTATACTCGGTAGTTAGATGCAACTGGCCTGTAGGTACATACATGTGAAGATGGTACTTGAAACGGCACCAGAATGAAATTAGGGTTAATCTATAATAAATAACTAACATATACATATAATAACAATAAGGCACGATCTACTTTTTTTTTTTTATTTATTTTACTTTTAAAGTACAGCCGCCTCAATGAGGGATCTGCAAAAACAAATCTCAATGCAACGAGAAGTAATAAAAAAAAATACAGTATTTCTAGAAGCCCAATTAATCCAGACTCCCAATCTCAGTCTCACTTTGATGAAACCGCCGATGGGCCTCGAGCGCAAAGACTGGGAACCGCTCGCCGCAGCTGGGGCACGGGTCGTTGTGTGAGAAACCCCGGGACCCGATACCGCCGTACTCGACCGAGGAGTCGGAAAGGCCGTCACCCCATTCGAGCTCCACCACCTCCTCCCCCTCCTCCCCCTCCTGCTCCCCTCCCTCGTCTTCGTCCTCTTCGACTTCCTTTATTGGTTCTGGCTCGTTCTCCGGTGGGCTGTTGTACTGTTGACTGTTGTTCACTATCCCATCCAGATATTCAGTGGGCTCCTCCTTATTCTCCCAGGTTTCGTTCCTTGGCCTGAGCGTGCTGAACATATCCCTAATATCGACCCCTCCACCCCCATCCGCCATATTAACCGCCGCCACATTAACCAGCTGCAACTCCCACTTCCTCTCCGCGCACAACCCTCTAAACAACCCCACAACCACCTCCTTCACCAGCCTCTCCGCTACCACATCCAATGGTGTCGACAACGAAAACACATATCCCGGCATTCGCCCGCTCCTGCTCATCCTCGTAAAGTCCCTGTTCCTCGTATGGAATCGGATGGAGAGTCTAAAATTCTTCGGGTGCGCAAGCCATTTCTCACCGCCAGGGCCGATCAGATCGGCATGCATACGTTGGAGGAGCTTCAGTGTTAGCTGGTGCAGCACGGGGGTTAGTTGGTTGAGGCACGTGATCTTTCCGGGGCGGAAGGTATCCTCGATACTGATCTGAGTTGGGACTATTGGTGCTGCGGCAACCCTGGAAGGGTCAATCCCGTGGAGTAGTCGCCATATTTTTTGCCCGTTACCGCCTGTGAGCGGCTCTAGCTGTGCGGGTGTGGTTATTACAGATATTACGGTACCTACTGTAACCTTTTCTGATATCTCTGTGAATTCAATCTCGTCGTCTTTAGTGGTTCTTCCCAGAACCTTGTCTCTGATCTTCTGCGCACTTTTGAACCCAACTCCTGGGACTTTTCCAATCTCGTGTCCGGCTAAAAACGCTGCTTCGAAGCCGGGCAAAAGGAGAGTTTGTGCATCGGGTTTGTTAACGCTGCCTGCGAGTTTGGCTGTGAGCTTGGTGGTGGAAATGCCTGCGGAACAGGTGTGGTCGAAATTTGTGAGGATCTGGGTTCTTATGAAGCATGCTAGATGTGAAGCGAGAAAGAGGCGCTGGTGGAGTAGCGAGTGGGGTCCGGATGATGCGGCGGGCGGGTATGTGTAACCAGGTAGCACGTCCCAGACGAACGGAAAACCCGCAGAGGGATCGTTACGAGAAAGGCGGAAGAATGAGGGGTCCTTTGAACCGGGTTGGTATTTTGATTGTGACATATTGAAATCAATCATTTCCGTTGCGTCAATAAAAATCTATTTTTTGTTTTTGTTTTTGTTTTTGCCCACTCTTAGTCCAAACCAAAACACAACCAGATAATTGTTTTTCTGTAGGTTTGAAGAAAAAAAAAAATACCTCGTCAAGACCTAGGCGCTCCGTAAGATTGTGCCAGACAAACTCCCTCACGAAAAGCCATATATTTTTGGAAACGATACGAAACCTGGGTAAGACAAGTTGACGTTGTAACTATTAGTTATCGATAACCAAGAGCGGCTTGCAGCGGCTAACCTCGTCAAATCCTCTCCATTAACAATTACCAGATTTTTGCATTGCTTTTTTGCGGCAGTAATGAGCTGTAGCTTCTTGACGCCTTGAGCCCTGGCAACATAGTTACAGGTGGCCAGCTTTTTTTCCACTCTCAGCTCAGTAATATCGTATTTATGAAACCCTTCTGCCCGATGCACAGATGGCACGACAACAGGGATGATCTCTGAAGAACTGGAACTGCCAACATACGATATTCTTTTGCTGAATTCCTAGAGGGACAGTCTTCAGGGCGGGGTTTTCATTCTCGACGACTGACGCGTAAAAACAATCGAAGTCCTAGGGGGGGTGTATGTATGCGGGATGTTAGGGTCTCAGACCAAAGTAAAGTAAACAATAGTATGACATGAGGCGAGAGGAAGGTATTATCTATGTAGTAGTATGAGTACTCACGAAATGTAGGATGATAGGTTCCTTGCTCTGCTCCATCTAGGTGCGGGAATTGACCACTGATTGAGGGAAATCACCTAGGTACAAATACAAGCTGTTACGATGCTCTATTGACAAAAAGCTGTTCCCACGCGGTTGATAAGTCGATGGCACGTGAGCAAAAAGAGAAAAAGGAATTTAGGTGGGCCTGCTACCCGTCGCCATCCAGGGAAACATGGGATGACCGGTGCACGGACCAGGCGAATAAGGCAGAGCAAACCTCAGATGATGACAGCCCAGTCCAAATAACATTGCCGCGGGCTCAAGCTGGTGATGTTCTATTGGTGATTCTAGGAACTTACCGCAATTACAGTCCGGTTGCACTACCCGAGAAGGGTCGTTTTGCTTTTGATCCTTGGGGTTAGGTTTGTAGTACAGATTTCACCATCATCCCGCATGCAAATGATATTCACACATCTTTTGCTGGTGAGATTTACCCCTCCAGAATGGATTTGAAACCCCCCAGAGCCATATCACGACGGAGTCAGCGTATGTACATACAGTAAAGGACTTTAATAGCCCGAAGGACCGAATGTGAAGGAAAAAAAAGGTCAACTGAAGGATAATTCATATCTATCAAAATGTTCCGTTTTATACGCAGTTCCTGTCCCTGAATCCTCCGTTCCTCCGTCGCACTACTACGAGATTTTCCGAGGAACGTTGCCGGTAAAAGTCACGCTGCCCCTCGGCTGTGAGGCAATTCTCAGGGTAGGCAGGGGTGAAAAAAAAAAGGTGAGTGCCGACAAAGAACTGAGACGTGCGGGCTGTTCTCGGATCATCCGCACGTGCGCTTGCTGCTACCCCACAACCTTCTCACACTAGGCTTACGCGAACTGGTTTCTCACATGAACTCCAGTCACTTACTTACTTGCTCGTACTCCCCCGTTCGTCATTTACTCAAGTCCTCCCACTTCCTACTTTTCTGCTTCCTTCCCGTTGCAACAAACGACAGCCCCTCATTCCTCGCATCAATTGCTTGCTTTCCATCTATCTAGCATAGCTATCAGAGCTCCGTTATCAACTTCCATTTACAGACCTTAGTAGCTCTTGAATATTTCCCCCAGTATCACCACCGCCGGCGGTGTGCGAGTGCCGCAATGTGGAAACCAACGCAATCGTTGATGGAGACCATCACCCACTACAGCCAATTCCCAGCAACCGGTGTGAGCTTACGGCAAATGGTCCAGTTTGGGCGAAATCCTTCACCAGGTGGGTTATTCAGTCCTGAACGACGTAAAAAAAGTAGAAGTTGTGCCAATGAATCTGCCGGTTGACAGGACACCGAGCAGGGACCTTATTTCGGGCTTCCCAATTTCTCAGCGAAGAGCTGCCAATTCGATTGGCACATCGAGTAAAAGAGTTGAATCAACTGCCGGATGGTCTAAGTGATATGCCTTCTATCCGAAGAGTCGCGAATTGGTACATGCAGTCGTTTGAGGTTGGTGACTCATCTATGATTTGCCTAATTGGTGGTGGTGGTGGTGGTGGTGGTGGTGGCTTGACTAATCACCTCATATTAAATTATTAGGAAATTACCACTTTACAAAAGCCAAGTTTATCAAAGGATATAAGGGATAAATTAATAAAAGGTTCGCGGGATAATGGTGTTCCACCGATTCCATTGGAGGTTATAGAAAACCCAGACATCGAGCCGGGAACATATAGAAGCTCGCCATGGCAGCCGACAAACGGTAATGGGAATGGTATCCGGAATGGAAGAAAAGCCCAGAGGTTGGTTCTGAATTCAGTGCATTAGATTTTTTTTTTCTAATATCACATTATGCAGGCGGTATTATGCAACTGTAGACGACGATGTGCGGTGGCCCCCAGAAATTGTGGACTACAACAGACGCTTTACAAAGACCCTCCAAAACATTAAACATCGTCATGACCCCGTTGTCACTACAATGGGTAGAACTTCCCAACTCGTTTTTATTGGCCGCCTTGGTGAATTATGAAACTGACTGATCGCGATGATCTTTGGTAGCAATGGGAATTAACGAGTATAAGCGCAAGAGGCAAAGAATGCAAATCGATAACTCGATCCAATCCTTCTTGGACCGGTTTTACATGTCCCGGATTGGTATCCGTATGCTTATTGGTCAACATGTGGCCCTGAACTCGGCTCCTGAACAGGAAGACTACGTGGGAATAATCTGCACAAAGACAAACGTCCGGGACTTGGCTCAAGAAGCCATTGAAAATGCGAGATTTGTGTGCGAAGATTACTACGGCCTATTCGACGCCCCGAAAGTGCAACTAGTATGCAAGCCTGATCTGAACTTTATGTATGTGCCAGGTCACTTGAGTCACATGCTCTTCGAGACTTTAAAGAACTCCCTACGAGCTGTGGTGGAGACACATGGAAGTGATTCCGAGGAGTTCCCGCCGGTAAAGTTGATCGTAGCAGAGGGTAAAGAGGTAAATACCCCACGATTTCTAATTGCCGTCCTGCCCTATTCAATTGCCGGGGCTAGTTCAGATGTCGTTTCATCCGCATTTAGGTTTCACATTGTTGTTAACGTCGGTGTAGGATATCACTATAAAGATTTCTGACGAAGGTGGCGGGATACCACGGAGTGCTATACCCTTGGTATGGACATACATGTACACCACCGTTGAGTCAACACCGCCAATCGACCCCGACTTCAATAAGAGCGACTTCAAGGCTCCTATGGCTGGGTTTGGCTACGGACTTCCGATATCACGACTGTACGCTCGATACTTTGGAGGAGACTTAAAGTTGATAAGCATGGAAGGGTGAGCCATTTCTTCAGCCTGTAAGAAGGAATTGATACTAATATATTTCAATTTTCAGATATGGCACCGATGTTTATTTACATCTAAACCGCTTGAGTAGTTCTTCGGAGCCCCTGCAATAACTGCCACATTGGGCTTGTAGTTTCTGATTTGTTATGGTTTTTATTTGTTGCATTTCTAGTGAACCGGCGGTCTTGTATAGGTTACTAAGGTGGTCTTTTCATTTGTTTTTTGCACGTCCTTTGTAACGTATTTACGACGCTTCTATTATTCGGGATTGGAGACGTATCGTGGGATCGGGGAGAAATGGGTTGGGTTTTTGTTAGGATCGATCAGAAGGGTACGATAGGAATGGCAATTCAAGGCGGTTATCCGTTGAGAGACTCGGGAGGTCTCCTACGAAGAAGAACAATTTGTCCTCACGCGCACAGAGATCCGCAATTACGCATAAACCCAAGCACAATGCTATATACACACAGTTATATCACATTCTTCTTTAACCACATTGAACTTTTCTTTGTACGCATTCCTCGTCAAAATCTCGTAGAAAATCAGGAGATTGCGAATTGATCCTCTAGGTAAAATCACAGCTTTAAAGTCCAGCTCAGGTTATAATGATAATGATTTCTACTCAAGTTCCACCAATCCCAGTTTCAAACCTTGGCTTAACAGAAAAAGCAAATCCCAAGTCGCACCATTCAGAACATATCCCGCCTACCTGGCACATTCCCTACACTCGCATCAAAGCTCCCCAGAACAAGAAGCTGCCGTTATCCGTGAAACTTCCCTTGCCACCTTTCTTTCGTTTTTCTGGAACTTTGTCTCTCTTTTATCGTCGTACAGTCACTGTGGCGCACGGCGAGAAGTAGAGGACGACGGCGACGCCGGAGGAGTATCGGTTCCGACTAAACCAGCGAGGGACTTCAACATGCGAAGACGGACACGAGGGATGCTCTATTGATTAAAAACAATGAATTTTTGCATTTCGTTTTGATCAGTTTTCTGTTTCTTTTTTTATATCCTCAAAGCCACTTTATGTTTGACCACCCCAGCATATGCAATGCTGACTCCAACTCTTTTTTTTTTTTTTTTTCATCCCCTGTCTTGATTCACAAGAACTGTAAGGATAGTAAAGACGAGCGGACGAATTGACAAACCTCGTCGCTAGCAATCGAGTGCATCGCCAGAAGCTCCCAGGACTCGAGATTAACAGCAATGTTGTAGCGGCGCTCGACTGTCTCGTAGTCGGCGGCCCTGCTGTCGGCGTCAGAGACGGTGCTCGACATTTTGGTTTTTCTTTTTATTGTATGAATAAGAAGGGAGAAGCGGTGAGTTTTGTTTTTTTGCGAATTGCAATAGAAGAATGAGATGATGTGATGTGAATGTTCCGAGGAGGAAGAAGATGGTGGTGGCGGTTGTGAGTTTGAGCTGAACAAAGAGAAGGGGAGAGTCTGTCTACATATGTAGACAATTGCGCATCGCAAACAATCCTCACACTCTACTCCCTCAGAACACTGACGGATCGTGTGGTGAAGGTGCTGTGAACGTGCGAAGAGAAGAGACCACTATACTACAAGGGAGAATATCCCCCGCAACAATGATCTCCTAGTAGTGTGGGGGTTTGAAGGTGGTGTGTGATCTGGATCGTGTAGTAGCCCGGACTATTCTTCAACCCTAGTAGAAAGAATCTCTCCCCTTACCAATCAACCAATCAGGGCATGAGAGAGGTAAACAACCGAGTAGATCATCGCGGAATTATTTACAGTCCCTACATATTTCTCTAACAATTCCCTCCTACATACTACATGTCTCTTTTCACTACTACATGAGTATATACTGAGGCAAAGGAGGATTAATCGTGGTCCGTAAAACAGGGGGTACTAGATTCACCAATTGATCCGCCGGTGTGGTTAGATGAGGGGAATGAGAAATCGTACCAGCTAAGGCATGTTCTTTTGCGTGTCGATTACAGATACCCAACTACACCAACCCTTGCGGCAACTTCCAGTACCTGAACGACACGGCGTCGTTGAAGGCTTTTCGAACCTTTGGAGCAATGGCATGATACAGTCCAGTACCTTACATGTACTAATAACCATTTTGGGAATTATACATGTAGGATTCATAGTTAGGTTAGTTAGTAGCGCTTAAACGAATCCTTATATCAGGTGACATGTTTCGAGGGGTGAATTTTGCTGGCCGCATTATTTGAAATTGCTATGATTGGGACTTGAGCTTTAAATACCTCCAGATTGGTTGTGGTTGTTTTTTCAGGGAACTGGATCTTGATGTTCAATTGCGTCACTTCACAGGGCTACGGATTGGGATCGAATGAAAGCGAATCTTGAGAACCGAACCGCAACAAGCGGGGGATGCTTGCCTGCCCTGAAGTCCTTGCTGCTGCATCATTGCACCTCTACCTATCGGTACTTTTTACTTCAACAATTCTCAAACGAACCTCTTTCTCTTCGCGCAGGCCTGAACCCTTAGTTTGATAGCTTCACTACCTACCTCTCAAGTTTCGATCCTAAGGATACGAACGCGTACTCTACGAGTCTACACCCTCATCTTACTTGCGCCGCGGAGATTTAGAACATTGTCTTGCGGTTGGCCTAGCCATCTACTGTCTGACTAACTACCGCCTGCTGGCTGCCTATATCTGCTGCTGTAATATAGGTCTGCCTCGCTCCTACTTTTTCGACTGCCCTGAAATTTCCTGATCTCGGGTTTCCCTTTTCTTTTTCTTACACTTTCACATCTTTTGTCGTTCATTGTGGTCGTCGGCACATGACGACATGCTGTTCTGTAAAATAACATTTACCCCGCCGAGCGTTCTCAAGAATCCACGTGGAATCTTGGGGACGATCAGCAGACCGCTCGCTGTTCCTTTTGTGCCAAAGGCTCTTCAACTGACTCCATGGAGGACAAAACCTGTGGGATACAGAAGCATAAGGGCATTTTCATCTTCCAGAATAATAATGTCGTCTGACGCGGATTACACTGCGTTCTTGAAGAAGTCGCAGAAGGATTACTCACAATCATATGAGGAGGATTCGTCTAAGCAGGCAACCACCACTACAGCGTCGACAGCGCAGTCGGAGGTGCACCCGGCGGTTCGAGCGCTTGGAGAAAGATTCTACATCTCTGATGCGGACGAGCCTTTCGAGGGAGTTTCGTTTGCTTGGGACAAGGGAACGCTTCCTACTGAAGGTCTGTGAACCACTTTTTTTTTTTACCCTTATCTGTATTTTTTTGTAAATTTTTTTATTTTTATTTTTAAACCGCTTTTGGCCCGCCTCTTATTTCATTTTTTTCTTCTTCTGATTCTCCGATGGGTTTATTTCTGGAGACTTCTCCGGCCCACCAATTCTCTTTGGTTGCGTATGTCTTTGATCTTCAAGTGTCTTGATCTTCACTGACACCTGTCTCCTCCGCTGCAAACTAGACGAGTTCGGGGATTTGATCGGAGTCCAGAGCGGCCGAGAGATTAAACTACTGGAACCGAACAAGTGGGACGCCCACGGAGAGTACCAGGATGTCATTGAAGCTGTCACCAAGGCCTCTAGCGGTGCCGCGGTTAAGGTTTATCGTGTTGAAGGTGCTGGAAGCAGAGTCGAATATTTTGTTGTCGGCGTGGACAGCGGTGAAGGGAAAGTTGTGGGTGTCAAGGTACTTTCCATCGAATCTTGAGAAGGTTCGAAAGTGGCAAGGGGGTTGAGATGCCAGACCGGGGAAAGACCCAGGGTTCTGTAGACTATACTACAACAATACCAGTATGCAACTTTAGCAGGTTTCGAGAGCGGAAAGTGCAGTTGTTTGACGTTTCAACTCACATACGAGACAACAGATCGCGATTTCCGACTTTCCCATGCCTTCAGCTTGTAGGACAGGTAAGTACATCGTAGATAGGTAATACCTACTTAGACAGCGAAGGTTCTAGTTAGCTGTCCCTAAGAGACTTCAGCTGTTGTCCGTTGATAGAAAACCCAGCCAGCCCAGTCAGGGCCAAGCAACAAGCACCACCAGAGTCAGCCAGGCGGTTGAGAGTGAAGGCCCTGCTGTGCTGTGCTGTAGGGCGGCGCGGCAGGTACCGCCGCACCTATCAATAATAATAGCTCTACTTATCATAGGGGGAATGGGACCTTCTTCGCTTTTCTTGCTTTATCTTGAGGCTCTCTTCTCTCCATCTTCGGTAAAAGCAGATAGGATCGCGAATCTGTTACTACTTTTGTAAAGATGCTTACGCGGAGCATGGCGGGAAGGTCTCGTTTACCACCCGATCAGGACTAGCAAGGTAAAGTAATAGACATCATAACATTTAACCTGAGACTTCAACCTGCTCAATATAGCAGTAATCTACACCCCAGGTCCAGAGAAATGATAGTTTTACTCCAGGCTCTCCAGACCCCAGGACGCTCATGGATGAATGGATGGATGGATGTTGCGAAGGAGAGAGGCTTTTTTCACGGACCCTTTAGATAATATCTATGCTTGTCTCTGTGTAGCATTAATTAGTTAAGTCTGAAGCTACTTTAGGCATTTTTAGCTGCTTTACTCTAAAAATTTCAAATAGAAGCTTACTCCTGGGGAGAATTCGAGGGAGAATTCCCGAAGCTTGTGAGATCTCGCAGCTTGTGAATATGTTTGGAGAACCCCCTGTTGCGATTGGGCGCATCTACAAGCGGGCTTTGTTCCGCTGCCTGATAGGCTCGCCGGGATTTTTCACCTGCCTGCCTTGATGCCGCCGCCTTGATGGCGTTGTGATCCCGCTAATCATATCACGGCAGGCTTGATGGTTTCTATGTTGCCCCTGGTTGCCCCTTGCGTGAAGGGCAACTTTCAACTCAACTTTGCGATTCTTCACTTCAGGGACGTTCTTCTTCCTCCTAAACACTCTTCCCTACGCGGTACTAGATGTTTGAATTACTATTCTTCGTCTCTTTGAAGTCAATCGCTTGAATCTCCGAATCTAGCCTTTCGTCATTCATTTTTACTGCCCCTGTCTTTCACTTTGTTAAACGCCCATCCCCATAGGTACATACACACAATCTTTCCTCCTCCTCTTCCTCCCACCTTTTGTCTGTGTGTGCCGTGCGCTGTAATATTATTCCTCCAATTCACCCCCCCCCCCCCCCCCCCCCAAGCCGCTCAAAAAGAGAGACAGTAGCCACATTTTTCCGCTGCTGTTCAAATTTGGATCCGCTCTGAGATCGGCATCCCGCTGTCCTTCATTCTTTCCTTCTCGGGGACAATTGAGATCCACTCGTTTCTCGACATAGTCCTGCTTTGACCAGGATAGGTAGTCAACGTTAGAGATTCTTGAAATCCTCCCTGTTACTTCCCGTCCGGATCAAAACAGTTGCATCGAGTTTTTCCGCTCTGACGAAATACGTCCACCCCTTCTCACGAACGTGTTCCCCTTTATTCTCTCGTTACTCTTCGCAACTTGCTCGGTTTCTATCTTGCATAGATAGAATCATCCTGTGGCTCCTTAACAGACAGGAATAAGGAGGACGACATAGAAGGGATACACTAGACGCATAGCACCTGTCAACAACAACAACACACACCACGACTTGGCTTCTGGTTACTGCACTAATTTTCCCCCTAACCTAATTCTTATTCCGAATAAGCTCTTTTCTACTGGGAAGCAAGTAAAGCACAACCTTAAAGTCGAGAACAAGTTGCCAGCAATAATCCGACAATAATGTCGGCGCGTCCTTCCCCACCACCTACGTTAACGCTGAATTCCGGCTCACAGGACCTGCTGAATGGCGCTCCTGCGCGACGTGCCAGTGTTGTCAGTCGAAATCTGACCCCCCAGGCTCCCTCGCCCACGGTATCGCGAAGTCAGAGTCCATTCTACCAGGGTGACACTCCGATAGAATCCTCAGAACTATTAATTCCGCCGCAACGAAGGCCTGGACAGTTTACCCCATATCAGGATAGTCCAACATCGTCACGGAGATCCAGTTGGAGTACAGATCGATATGGCCCATTCGTGTCGCCATTTGACGATAATTCAGGAACCGCCTCTCCTGATATTGGTGATGCGCTTAACTCGCAGACCATCAGTGAAAAGTACAATATAACACCATCAGCTGGTCTGCTGCTGTTTCCGATAGATAAGGAGGATGACGATGCTTTGCATGATCCCACAGAGTTGGACGATATGAGAGAATGCGATATTTTCACAAAGCGTGGCTTAGTGAATGTTGGAGGATTGGGATTGATCGTGTTGGGCGTCCTCGTATTATTTATTGGATATCCCGTCCTGTACGTGCCAATTGATTCCCTCTTACAATCAGTTGGCGGTTGCTAAGTGGTGAACTTCGTTTGCAGGACTTTTGTTCGCGATGCTGTCAAGATTACAAAGAGCCTTTGCGAAGGGCCTCTTTGCCTTGACGTTGGCCCTATTGCGCTTCTACAGAATGTTAGGCATTCGTTGATCGATCCTGATACTCCAGACAGCGCATTAACAAAGACTTCGGCGGATGGAAAAACCTTTAGACTAGTGGTCAGTAAAATCCCGATAACTAATAACCTAATGAGTTCGAGTTCGTGGTTGCTGAGATAAATCGCGAAATACAGTTTTCAGACGAATTTAATCAGGATGGAAGGACGTTTTATCCAAATGATGACCCATACTGGTGAGTGCATTTTAATTCACTGTGCTTACTTTTTTGATGCTAACTGTTACACAGGGAAGGGGTTGACATCCACTAGTAAGCAATCGAATACGAGATTTATTTTGGTACCTTATCTCGGCTAACGGCTTTTTTCTTTACAGCGCAGCAACCCAAGATTCGGAATGGTATGATCCTGATGCATTGACTACAAAAGATGGTGTTCTTGAAATAGAGTTTGCTGCATTCAGGAACCATGATTTGGACTTCAGATCAGGAATGCTTCAAAGTTGGAACAAGCTGTGCTTCAAGGGCGGGATTATCGAAGGTGAGATGGACCCCACATCTAATAATGGGGTTTAACTTTTCTAACATTTAACTAGCGAGTATCTCATTGCCCGGTGCTGGGAACGTTTCTGGGTTGTGGCCGGGTTTTTGGACCATGGGTAATTTAGGTCGCCCGGGGTATCTTTCAACCACCGAAGGCATGTGGCCGTATTCATACCACGATGAATGTGATGCCGGAATCACTGCAAATCAGTCAAGTCCCGACGGTCTCAGCTGGCTTCCCGGAATGAAGCTTCCTGGCTGCACATGCAGCGGGGAGGACCACCCCAATGCAGGAAAGGCTCGATCATCACCCGAACTCGATATTCTCGAGGCTACAGTTTCAGTAATCGATACTGATGGAAATATCGTCGGGGCTGTATCTCAATCTGCACAGGTCGCACCTTTCGATATTTGGTATCAGCCTGATTACGAACAGATTGCCGTTTACAACCCGGATATCACGGTCATGAACTCATACCGAGGAGGATACTATCAGGAGGCTATTTCTGGATACTCAACTTTGAACAACGACTGGTACGACGGAAAACAATACCAGACTTACGGATTTGAGTATGAACCTGGTAATGATGGAAAGATTGTATGGAATATTGGCGAGGTTAAGACATGGGAAATGTTAGCCGGGGCCACGGGCCCCAACGGAAATATTGGGCAAAGACCTATCCCACAGGAACCTATGACGATTATTGTAAACGTCGGTATGAGTAGCACATTTGCATATATCAACTGGGCAGAGCTTGCGAAACTTTTGCCAGCAAAGATGAGGATTGATTGGTTAGTTTTAGAATCCTTCAAAGCATAAGGCTGTTTTTATTGGAAATACTAACTTCAGCAATAGGATTCGTGTTTGGCAAGATGAAGACTGCGAGGACTGCTCCGTTACATGCGATCCCCCAGGATATCCAACCACTCAGTACATCGAAGACCACATCGACGCCTATATGAACCCCAACTTGACGAATTGGGCTGCTACTGGTTATGGCTGGCCCCAAAACACGCTAGTTGATGGCTGCAGTGCTTGATTCTAGCCATCTCACTATTTCGCGCTTTTTCGCAGTAATTTCCTTTGTCATTTTGGGGAACCGATAGACAACCAAAAAGGTATAATTCAATTCTTTCATCTTTTTTTTTTTCGCTTTATTTTGGTGGGATTACTTTATGGGTTCATTTCTGTGTATAGCCTATTGAGGGGAGGGAAGTTGTGCAGAGAGGCCTGCTAGTTTTTCGTATCATGTTTTGTCTTGTGTATTGTGAGCGTGCACTTTGTACTGTCATCATTACAGTGGAGTTGGCTTGGGACATCTGCCTTTTTACCTTTCCGTTTTCTTCTTCTTTCTTTTCTATATCCACCCTTTTTGCTTCACGTGTAGCTCTTTCCTTTTCTTTTACCTACGATTGTTTGGCCTCATTTACTTCTCGGGGAGAACTTTGGTTAGGGTTTCGCCTGCATGTCTAGCACGGCATCCAAAGTAACAATCCCTCATATCAGAGTGAGAGCTGTAGAGGTAAGTAGTGTACGTTAGCTAATTCTGTAAACGGCTTCTTCATGTTCTTTTTTTATGTTTTTCTTTGGTACGAGTGGTGAGCAATGCATTGATATCCATAACATGAATGCACTCACGCTCGTATTGGTATGTCTTGGACGATTTCTTTGTATGATGGTCTTTAGAATGTTTATTCTTTTGTTACGCACTTATTATAGCTTTTAGTCATGACAGTGGTGGTGTGCTGTGCTGTGGTTTCTCAGATCTTTTCGGGTTCATGGCCGGAAACTAGGAGAGTTAGTACATGTAGTTACGCTCTAGTGGAGTTTAATGTGAGGCCTTTTTTATGCGCTTCTGTGGCCAGTCTTTTGAATTTGATTTGGTCGCTTCTTACTTCTTTTATCAGCGGACGCGTGGGCACGAAATATCAAAAGTCCATGGCTGCAGAGCGATTGGCGAGTGATTGCTTATGACGATATGCTTGGCGTATTTCCTCCACCATTATTGATGCAACCACATCTTCTCAATCCGGCTCAGCTAGGCCTACTAATTTCTTAGAAGCGTTAATGACGATAATGTCCGATTTGGGTATGGTTTCCACTGTAATTATGGGTCTTACAGTAAAAGCATTTTTTCTCGACTTTTGCACCACAGAAACAGTTTTAGTACTATGGCCAAACATCGATCGCCACAATTCTCGGTGAGTTTGGGCATGTTGATGCTTTTGTTTTTCGATCTGCGGTGAATAATTTCCCGAGGAGATGAGAAACGAAGAAGTAAATATTCAAGTACCTATATGCTGTTTCGAATCGCTGGTCAGGCAATGTGCGAGGCTGTTTGGTGGGTATGGCTACTGTTCCAAGGCTTCCCCTTTAAATGTTTGCGTACGTATGTACATACACTCTGGGCATGTTTTGGGCCCTTGAATTCTTGCAGGGTTGAAGTTCTTTCCCTGAAGTGAAGGGTATGTAATAGTGCATACATGTACCCGCGGTACATACTACATGTACTCGTAGTTTTTTGGCGTTTCCGGACGCAACTGCTATTGCATACACAGAAAAAACTCGCCAAGGCTATCTTTTGTATGGCATGCAATAGCAGTTGCGTCCGGAAACGCCAAAAAACTACGAGTAGTGGTATGGAAAAGGGAAAGGTATCATGAGCCTCTGATTGGATGCTGTCTAACTCGTGGTTAGTATCTTTCTAGAATTTGTACGACTGTAAAACAAATAACCAAGTTTAATTTTTCACTGTAATTATGAGTTTACTGGGCCGATCAATTTGTGTCTTCTGATAGGCTGACTACTGGAATGAGCCAGAGGGAAGCAAATATTTTTTATCATATAAGATTGCAATTATTACCGCCGTCATAGCTGGATTAATATCATGGAGATGAACTTGAGTTCTTTTGTAGACTCGGTACGAGGTTGCAGAGTACCTACTTTGTATGGACATACCACTACAGAATCTGGAGAAAACCCTGTAGATCATGATTTGTGCGTTTCTATTTACGCGCCTTTTTCAGGGGGTTAAGCGGGGATGCAGTGGGGGCCGGAAATACGCGGAGCAGGGCACAGGGAGCTTGGAGCTCTTGGAGCTCACCACAACCACCCGATACAGTTTTTTCCACTTGACTTAGACGTATTTATTGGATGAAGATAACCAGACTAGGCTGGGCTCTGCTGAGAACAGTTAGCGCGGTACACAGGTACCTGGCATGTAGAATATCTTTGCACGAGGTCCGCATAAGAGTCCGAATATCCCTCTGTCTATTTACATAGAGTGATAATTTATAAAGTGCAATAAGGCAGGTGAAGTAGATACAACGGCGCGGGATGACGTTCGTGGACTAGAAATTTCCAACTGTGTAGACTACTCTGGTATTTATTAATACTGCGTGTAAGGAAGGTAACGTACGACAACTAGCCCAGCGTTTTTGTAGTACTTTGCTGTGCCCATTCGCTCAACCAGTCTCACACACCCTCCCAGATATTCTTTCTCAATTCCGTGCATCATCTGGAGGTTTGCGGTCACGAGCAGATTTCCTTTGGTGTCACTTTTTCCTGCCTTCCATTTTTCACTGCTAGGACCCTCGCCTCTAGATTTGGCCTCATTCCCGTAACCCCTCCCCCAGGTTCTGTCGACGAAACGATCGTTCAAAAGGAGTGTCTTTCCTCAGTTCCGATAAAATGCCGTCCTGGCCATCTCGTCTACTCCCTCCTCCCCATAACCAGGACCAGCTTTCGGTTCCCGAACAACCTCCGTCCCGACCATCCACCTCCAGATCTCACGGGAGGTCACAGTCACATTACATACCTTCCGGAAACTCTAACCCGCCTGGCGCACATCTAGAGCCTGGGAGACACCATATCAGTAGAGCAAACGAAGGAGATATGTTGGGATCTTTAGAAAGAGATGGCGGGCACACTGTGCATAGCGGGAATAATAGGAGACACTCAACAGTTCCTACAGACATGGTTTCTGGAATGGCGGGAAATGGAGGAAACTTGCAGACAAATTTTGTACGTGTTTACCTTTGGTGTTTTTTGCGGCTCTACAAGTTACACTACGTACACAGTCGTAATTCTGCTTGGATGTGCACTTCGTGCTTACAAGGATGCTCGGTGCATTTTAGACAACGGGTCGGTGCTCATGTTGCGATTCCTGCGTTCGGTGGCCAACTCATTTGTCGGTTTTTCGATGCACGACATGCACAACTATCAACGACCTCGCTCCGGCTGAGCAGTGTACCAAGGGTGTGATACATCAAGGCAAAGGAAGTGTTGAACTTTTGAGGCTGATAATACTGCTGCAGGTATACCGCCAATCTCTGCCGAGAGAACGAGATCAATCATAAATTTCTGTATAAAAGGATTTCTGGAGCAAAGAGAATGGCTACACAATATGCCGGAGCACCCACCACCTCCTCCGCCGATTCCGATTCCGGGGAGGTCATCGGATGAATCTGGCGGACCGGGGGGCCCAGTGCAGACACCTCCGGCCTTTTCTAAATTCTCACCTAACACAGCGGCTGCAATGATGGCATTTCCAGCACATAGAGACCTTTCGGATGCGGCGCCGCCGCGGAGGCCTTCGCTACCTATACTAAGTCTTTCAGAGAGTTTTTCTTCTACAACTACACCTCCACCTAGGGACCGTCGCTCAATGCATGTACCCATGGGGAAGGGTTCACTGTCTCCAGGGTCAAATGGCGCCGATAGACCTGAAACCGGGAGTCGGCAAAATCCAGAAAGCACTCCTCACGAGGAACTTGTGAAGAAATCGTTTAGACCATTAGAGAATTATTTGACCACCACCTTTGGAAGTTGTGACTGTCTAAATGCGAGCTTTCTGAAAAGGCGCAGCGAAGGCCTGGAGCCAAAGGCTCAAGATATCAGATCTACCTCACCTAGAAGGTCTAAATCCCCAGCGAAATCGTCAAAGGAGATCGATATACCTGTTACGAATAAAATTGGAGAGAAAGAAACAATTTTATTGCAACGAGGTAGATTCCTAGGTAAAGAGTTAAATTCCAGTAAAAAAGAAAAAGAAAAGACAAAAAGCGTACCCGAAACCAAGACCACCGTGAGAAGTCCTGGAATTGATTGGGAAAGTGTGGATGAGCTTTACGACATGGTAATAAATGTTGGTGCGGATTACAGAGATGAAAAAACCGACTCTAGGAGCTGGGATAGCGAGCTTAGAAAAGATATGGAAGATGCTAGGGCTCACATTGGCAGATCCCTGTTGAAAGCTACAGAAAGTCTTTTGAAACGGCCCGGAAGGCCATTGAAGAAGCCTGAAGATGTTAGGTTTCTACTTATAATCTTAGCAAACCCTCTTTTATATCCGGAGTCTTCTCGTCCGGTCTCCAAGGTCCATGGTATGTCTTCTTCCTCAGATCTAAGATCCCCCCTAAATAGTAAGGAGGAACCCGCTCTTTCGCCGGCCAAGCTAAAAAGGCAAGCTTCCACTTCGTCCAACCGGAGTGGCAATTCAGGTGGTCCTGGTCATCATTCCGGAATTATTAAACGTATCATGGGATTGATCGGAAACCTTGATAATACAATCCATCACTATCTTGTCTCATGGTTCACCCGAATGCCGGAGGTTCAGTTTCGGCGATTAGTGGAGTTAGTAGGAAGCTTCATCACTTACCGACTCACGAGACAGCCCGCGAGAAAAAAAACACAACAGGCAACCGGAATGATGGGACAAAGAATCAAGCAGTTGCCATATAACGACGATTGGCAGATAAAGTCAGCAGCAAAAGTCATGGCATTATTTTTCTCGGCAAATAATAACACTGCTGGCCGTCGTGGCATGGTCCAGAACATCAAAGATGACGAAGAAAACATGAATTCTGCAGTCATGGCAAGGCGTGAAGCGAGACGGAGAGGCCAAATTATTCTTACTAGCGAGTTCTACAACATGCTTCTTGATTACCACGACTTGATAGCTGATTTCGATGTCTGGGAGTCACGTTCTTCAAAGTTTTGCTTTTGTCAGTACTCGTTTTTGTTGTCTATGGGATCCAAGATACAGATCCTTGAGCACGACGCCAAGCGACAAATGGAAGTTCAAGCTCGGCAGGCGTTTTTCAATAGTATATCTACCAGAAGAGCAGTAAATCAATATCTCGTATTGAAGGTCCGGAGAGAGTGCTTGGTTGAAGATAGTTTGAGAGGAATAAGTGAGGGTGCAGGTGGCATAGATGATATCAAGAAAGGGTTAAGAATTGAATTTATTGGGGAGGACGGTGTAGATGCGGGTGGATTAAAGAAAGAGTGGTTCTTGATGGTTGCCCGGGATGTTTTCGATCCTAACTACGGTAAGTCAATGCCATTCTCTAACATTCTCCCGGCGCGAGACACTCAAAGTGGCCAGGTATGTTTATCTACGACGAGGACTCTGAGTACTGTTATTTCAACCCACACTCTTTGGAATCCTCTGAGGAGTATTATCTGGTTGGTATGCTCTTGGGACTTGCAATCTATAATTCCACAATATTGGACGTTGCTTTGCCGCCATACGTCTTTAAGAAGCTTCTGCACCTGACAAACAAGCACCAACTGGCAACCTCCTCTGTTCGACCTCCTTTAGTTCAGACTTTGGAAGACCTGGCAGTCTTCCGACCGGCTTTGGCAAGCGGGTTGGGTAAGCTGCTGGAGTTCGAGGGTGATGTCGAGGCAACCTTCTGCCGGGATTTTGTTGCAGAGTCTGAGCGATACGGCGAAGTGATCGTTACACCTCTTTGCCCTGGCGGGGAGAATAGACCAGTTACCAATGCAAATCGGAAAGAGTTTGTCGATCTCTATCTGAGATGGATCCTGGATACCTCTGTAGCGAGGCAATTCGAACCTTTCAAGCGTGGATTTTACACGGTTTGCGGGGGTAATGCATTATCTCTTTTCCGACCAGAGGAGATTGAGCTCCTTATACGAGGCTCTGATGAGGCGCTCGATGTCTCTGCGATGAAGGCCGTTGCCGTATATGATGGCTGGGGAAACGCGACGCCAGCAGATAATGATCCTGTAGTCAGATGGTTCTGGAGCTTCTTTGAGAGAATCTCACCAAAGGAACAGAGGATGCTACTGCACTTTATCACTGGCAGTGACAGAATACCAGCAATGGGAGCAACGAGCTTGATTATCAAAGTGGGCTGTCTAGGGCAAGATTGCAATAGATTCCCTGTGGCTAGGACTTGTTTTAACCAGATTTGCCTCTGGAGATATAAACGGAGGGAGAAGCTTGAGAGCATGCTTTGGCGTGCCGTCACAGAAAGCGAAGGCTTTGGACTGAAATGATTATGTGCTTGGGATTTCGGAATGGCGGACATTGGTGTTTTCTTCCTTTCTTTCTTTTTTTTATTGTTCTCTTTCGATGTGTGGAGTCCGAGGTGGCCTTTAATGGCAGATGAGATGGATGATGAGATGTGCGTGCGTGTGTGCGTGTGTGTGGGCTTGAACTTTTTATGAACTGGGCCAAAGGGTCAAACAGCTAGTGCAACAACAACCGGGTTCGGATTTCGGATGTGGGTATGAAGATGATTGGGGATCATCGTCGTCATACCACTAACCAAATTATGGAAAGCGGGGTGGGATACATGTGCGCAATCAGCTTATGCACCTTTAGCATACAGACGATAATGATCGATGAACTGGCCGGCTGGCACAATTGATATGCATGCGAGGTGGGGTACAGGGGAACTTGGTAGGGGTGGTGGACTGTCAAACTCTGGCGTAGGAATAGTTAGAGGCAATTCTTGTCCGAATTTCAATAATGATGACAAGATTTGCCCTTAATATTAGAAGTAGCAGCAGGGGTTTTACTCGATCTGAGGATTTCCTTTTATCACTTTCATTACTCTTTTCTATATCATGTATATTGCATACTTCTGAATATTGGCAATGGCAGGTGATGGGATCAATTATCATATTGTGGTTTGTGTATTTTATTGTTTCCTGGCAGCGGGAGATACACCGCTTGGCAATTAGGGTCGGGATCAGGAAGGAGAGGGCTTTCTTTAACTTATAGTAGCTTGCGTTCCCTTTTCTGCCGCTTTGTGAGAGGTTGGAGGTTCGCTGGCACTCCAGCTGCGAGTGATTTGTTGATATCCGATCCATGGAGAGGGGGCGTTCCCGGCCCTTGGTTCTAGGGCTTGGATGCAGGGCCCAGGTCCCAGGTCCCAGACTGGACGTCGTGGTACGGGCTACTTTCTTACTAATGTATATGTACATGTAGGTATGGCCTTGATAGTTTTGTATATAAGGAAAGACTTTAAAATCTGGTTCGACTTCCTTCCTATTATGAAACGTAGGTTATAAGAGCTTCTGATATTCATACAAATGCTATATCATAGGTGTATATAAAGGAATAGTAAATTACTGAAGTTATATTATTTAGTAGCTATATGGTGGTGATTATCCTACTGGTACTCCCTTTAAGATGACATTGTTAAGATCAGTTATGGCCAATCACGTGAGTTGGTAGACATCACCAATAAACCCATCAAGAAAAAAACGAATTAGTAACACCGGCCGCCAGTAGAGTTCTACTGAAGCATCCCATCCACCCCATTGACCGGCATGGAGCGGCGCACCGGGTTACAGTCCTTTCCACCCGGAGGGAATTCCGGTTTCTGGTTCTACGTAGGATGTTTCTATTCGCTGTTACTTAAACTACCCTTCCCCAGATACGCTGTATTTGCTAGCTATAGTCTAGTCTTGAAAAAGAAAAGAAGCTAAGCCCTACACGCATTCTTTGTGTGCATCATCTAAATAATTTACCCCACCTCACTTCACTCATCACTTATTGAAGTGCAGCAGCAGCAGCGTGTATGTATGCAATGCAGGCTACCTAGTGGAGAGTATGCAGAGTACTTTAACCCTGCGAAATGTGCAAGGCTGACGGGTCATCTCTCTGATTCTGATAAGGGGCCTTGTGGGGTTTCAATGAAGCTCTCGGGGTATATGTAGAAGGCAAATGTTTCAACTGTTTTGAAAGTATTGGACGACTTCTGAGTACGCGTACAGTTCGTCTCAAGCTTCGATAGCTGCCGTTAATGCCGCTACCAGTGCCTATCTATGGGCCATTGATAGCTGATCACAATCAAGTTGCACCTTGGTTAAAACGGCCAAGAGTACTAGTAGGTGCAACCTGGAATATCTCGTGCATGCACGGGTGAATATCTAAGTAAATCAACCCACATTTCTTAGGAGATACCAAGCATGCCAATGTAGCCTAACTAGAAATCATATAATATCTCAGTTTTTCGTAAAGAAAGATACCCGTTCCCTTTTTTCGTTTTACGTATATTACCTTTGTTTGAAATAGCTGTGCTTAGCATTGCACAAAGGGCGGTAACAACTCAGTTTATACAGATTATCGCATGATTGAGGGATATTCCTCAGCTCAAATCCATGAAAGTTGGTTTATAGAGACCGTACAAGAACACCTGCCTACATCTAGTTTTCCCGGCAGGAAATGTGCCGACAGCTGCGGGAATTGGAGATGGTAAACACAACCAGCTAGGTAAGATAGATTTTCCGAACTCCGGCCGGTTCTTGGTTTTTATGTGTTGTTTATTCTGATATACGAGTTTCCTTGTAGAACTGAATTGACTAGGGGTTTCGGGACAAGCGCAGTATGGTACGTACTGGAAGTTCGCAGAACTTATCGCGTCAGGCAAAAACGGGGATATTCACGGAAGCCGCTGGTTATCCCGGGTGAACAGGGATGGTGGGTGCGGCGCGGCGAGGAGGTAAGGGTTGTACGAAAGAGGGGTTAGTCGATCGCTTGGTGGGGTTAGTGGGGTCAACTCGAACGGCTGGCTTGCCTCATGTCCCCCGCGGGTGAGAAGGACGAGGAAGGATGCGGGCAAGCAGCAAGCTATCGAGGCTAGGACAACGCAACAGCGTCAATTAGCGTCCGAATTGAATTCAACGCATTAAACTGGAGAGGCTGACTGGGGAAAAGGGGGGGGGGGGGGCGACCGAAAGACGGTGAATGGGGGTTCCCTGAGGAAGTAGAGCAACCACACCGGATCTAATGATGATGAAGCTGTGACCTTGTTTGGTCTTTAATTGTTAGTAAGGGATGGGAGAGTTGGTGGGTATAAAAGTTCTTGACTGATTTCTCACATAACCTATAAAGTCCCACCCTCCCCGCGGTCATTGAGCCTTCCTTTCAATATCACCATCCCCCATTCTCAATCAAAAGACTCTACCTATCTCTCTTTCTCTTGAGAAAAACCAAGCCCAAACTCAGTTCAAGATGTCAGGACTCCCACAGACCATGAAGGCTCTCCGGTAAGTCCTTATCGTTGATAGATAATTCTTCTATGAGCGGAGTATAGTAGCTGATACCATACTTTATTAGCTACGACAAACCTTTGTCGTATGCCGTTGTCGAGGTTCCTCTACCGGTTGTTCGTGATAACGATGTCTTGGTAAGTCTCTTAGCTCACTAGTATTAAAATCAAGGGCTCCAACTAATGTAAACATAGATCAAAGTCAAGGCCTGTGGTGTTTGCGGAACCGTACGTAGTGGTGATAAGGATTAGATTCGGAAGAAGCAAAACTGATTGATTGTAGGACTTGCACATTCACGAAGGAGAATTCATTGCGAAGGTAATTATCATACCCTTTCTATGTCGGTTACCTGGGAGAACCCCAATTATATACGCTGCCAGAACTGGTGCACACCTTTCTGGATAGCCGCCCCCTGCAGACACCTCTGTGGTTATTTGATCAGTCGCTGACGTGCTCGCCCCCCGCAGTTCCCACTCATTCCTGGTAAGCTATACATCAACAGCAATTGTTAAACGACTCAATCGATCATTTATCTAACATTAATTTTCAAGGCCACGAGACTGTCGGTGTCGTTGCTGCTATTGGAAAGGATGTCAAGGGATTCGAGGTTGGCGAGCGTGTCTGCGCAGATAACTCCGAGCTTTGCAACGAGTGCTTCTACTGCCGCCGTGGACAGCTGTTGCTTTGCGAGAAGTTTGAGGCTCACGGTGTGACCAGTAAGTAACTCATTTAAACAATACGCTTCTGTCTTCATACTAACTTGAACCAAGTGGACGGTGGTTTCGCTGAGTACTGCGCATACCCTGCCGGAAAGGTCTTCAAGATCCACAACCTCTCTGACGTTGATGCCACCCTCCTTGAGCCGGCCTCATGTGCTGCCCACGGTCTTGAGAAGATCGCACCAAAGTTCGGTTCATCAGTCCTTATGTTCGGTGCTGGTCCCACCGGTCTCTGTCTTGCACAGCTCCTCCGCCACAACGGTGCTTCCCACGTCGTCGTTGCTGCCCCAGAGGGTCTGAAGATGGACTTGGCCAAGAAGTTGGACGCTGCCGATGTCTACGTTGAGCTTTCGCGATCAAACCCAGAGGCCCAGTTTGAGCAGATCAAGAAGGACAACCCGTACGGATTCGACATTGTCGTTGAGGCCACTGGTTCCCCCAAGATTCTTGAGGATGCTATTCACTACGTCCGCCGTGGTGGAAAGCTCGTCGTTTACGGTGTCTACAGTGACTCTGCCCGCGTCTCATGGCCCCCGAGCAAGATCTTTGGTGACGAAATCACTATCATTGGATCCTTCTCTGAGACCTACATGTTCCCCGCCACCATCGGATACCTCGACACTGGAAAGGTCAAGGTTGAGGGCATTGTAAACAAGACCTACAGACTCGAGCAATGGGGCGAGTGCTTGGAGGCGATGAAAAACAAGAGTGCGATCAAGGCGGCCATTGTTTTCGACTAAGGGAAAGGGACAAAATGGGAGTTTTTATTGGGTTTCTGGTATAAATATTTCTGTGCGATATCTTTTATGTTTTGGGAAGTTTTTTTGGTAGCTTGCATGCCCAAAGGTTTTTGGAGAATGCAAAAGTAAAATAAATATTACTTGATGGTTCATGGACCAAATCTATCATCAAATGTTCTCTTGTGTGAGCAAACTGCTCCTCTAAGTGGGGTACGTTCCTGGCGGGGTAACCATAATTCTTTTTTCCTGTGCTCCTATCGGTATGTGGTGCCTGGTATGTAACACACATTATTAGAACTACTGCTGAGAGGCAGTCCGGCCGGTGCCGTATCAGCTGAGCTCGGCCCTCTAGTATGATAGGTAACTTAAGACCCGACCCGAGCCTATGAATTGGCACCAGTATGGACGGCGCGCGGTATTAAACAAATTGATTGTCTCTTTACTTTAGCCGGCCGCGGTGTCATCATTCTAGGCCGATGTTTTTCTAGCAAGAATGGCCCTCGTACTCTCGCCTGCCGGAACCCAACGGAAGAAA